CATCTTCTAGGAGTTCATGCAACTATGATGCTTCAGCCCTTCCTTGGCTTCAACCTGGCACATAAACATTGTCTTGGAATCAATATATTTCCAAATAAAAATATAGGAAGCTAAGAGATGGAAGGAAACGCAATGAAGATTACTTGTTCTGAGTAGGATTCGGAATGCTGGGAGGTATTCTTCGAAGGCTATCGAATACTGGCTCGGTGGTGACTGGCTTTTTCTTGTCTGAGTGTGTATGTAGGAGAGCCTGAGAGGATGAAGAAGTAGCTGAAGACAAAGAAGATGGTGGGTGAACTCTGGCTAAGGCTCTATTATTGCAAACTAAATGCATCAATAATATAGCAATGGTAATCTTAAGCAATGTTTTGTAGCAGGATTTCATGGTTTTGCAGACTCAGAGGATGTCTTCTTACCAATGCTTGGTCCGATGATGAGTTAACGTTATTTATAAGCTCATGATATATGAGAGAGAGAGAGAGAGAGAGAGGTTTTCCTTAATGACCTTTTTATGTGCTGCTCTTAACTTATATAAAATGGAGATTGGATGCAGGAGTGTCATGTGATGGATCTTTGACTATTTTAGCTTCCAAGTTCCAAAGCTCAGTCTCCCAAAGAAATTTGCCTATAGATTTAGTTATAGAGAGCAGTCATGTGATCAGGCACGTGATTAAATTACAGACAATTGGTTGGCAAACTTTGGATTCTGCCTTCTGAGTTTTTTACACTTAAGATAATGACATACAGGGATATGGTAAATGACTTACATAAGTCTAAAATATTTGACACTGAACTTAAAATTAAGGGTTACATTACCAATGCAATGCCAATTTGCAGAGAAAGTTTGAAACTCAAGGCCCTCTTTATTATTATAATCCTGCATTTAAACTACCATATGCTTCTCATCTCCACCAGAACAGACCAAAAATGTTTGATGCAGTTAAACTCATTGAGATGCTGTTTGAAGAATAAAATATAATGTGGCTTGTGAAACAAGCATTTTATATCATGAGCTCCATTCTCTTTGACCGAATTCAGGCCAAGAGAACTGGAATGTCTACAACAAATACACTCTTTGATAAATTATAAGAACAAAGACACCAATTCACACAATAATCTGTCACCTATGCATCTCGTAGAATCAACTTGTTAGGAAATCAGAACATCCAAAGCCAAGCATGATCACTATGAGGACGGAATTCATAATGCATGCCGGAAAAGTTGGAATGTGTGACCACTTTGGGACTGAATGTATCACTTGTTGGAAAACTATTTACACCTTAATAATGCAAACAGCTCTGCATCATGAAACCTATTTAATCTCATCTAATCAGCAAAATTGGGTATTTCGTCAACCCTTCAGCAGCTATGGTTAGCATTTTAGTACCTGACAGTACAAAAAGACAATCAGGGCAACGACCTTTGACAGTTCACAAGAGTTACAGAAAATATTAGAGAGTTAAGAACATAAAAAGACAACGACCCTATATGTTTTGATAGAGAAAACAAGGCCCTACTGAGCAAGTGTTCACATATGACAAAGATGGAATAGGCGGTCACCAATATTATGTATGTTTTGATCTTGACAAAATGACCCCAGTGTAAGCAGTAGCACATATCATCAAGATAAATAAGTTTTGCAACTCTTTATCGTTGCACCAGCATTGCAAAAACTCTATATAAATAAATAAAAACTACCAAATTTGGTCATAAACTTACATGTTTTTCAAGTATCTAGCAGTTGGTAAAAGCTCTTCAATTTCAATCTTCATATTAGAGCTAGGTGATCCTTTCTTCAATTCATTATGATTGGCAACAACATCCACAACAAATGTTCCACAAACTGGCCGGTGGTCAGAAAATCGGGACTCTCCACGTATGTAAGAAAGTTGTTTAATCCCATTTCCATGCCATAGTATTCGATCACACCTGCAATATCGAACTAGTCAAATCTTTTTGTTAAATGTAAATTGGGTTTCATAAGTACACTCTTGCAATCCACATACCAAGCTGGGGTTCTTCTTTTCTTTTTGGATGTTTTTATCTCTCCAAAATAAGTGTCTGAGTTATAAAAATATTTGTAAGTAGGTGCAAAGTAAATTTTTCCCTCTTTCCATCCTTTGAACACTCGCTCTGCTTCCCTTTCAATCTTGAGCTATAAATACAAGCAAAAAAATTATTAGTGCACGACATGGGAGAATAGAATGTGTGGGTGACAAAGAAAGCAAAGTATATAACTGAAAAATGGCAGCCAAATGCCCGGACTTCTCCAGCCCCAGAAATTGTAAATCCATCAAAGATGAGTTATAAATAACACACCAAACAAAGTATTGAGGGAGTCAAAACCCCGAAGTTTAGCTACATTTTGGATAAAATGTGAAATGAAATGCAGTACTCATTTCTAGTACCAAATGGCTCATTCATTGAATTGCTACTGAAACTGAAAATAAGGCTCTTTAAGCAAATGCTTTAACAAATATCAGACTAGATTGGGTAGTCACATTAACATAGGACGGCTAATATTTCCGAACCTTGTAGCCCAACTCTAACATGATTTTCTTATTATTTGATGTTAAATTCAATTACCTGGTCTTTGTTAAGAAGTGCATCCCAGTCATTGTTTTCCAAAAGCTTTCGGGTTTCGGAATAGCTCAAAGCAATACGATAATTCAAGTCACCTAACCATATAACCATACTGATCCATTTGCAAAGGAATTAGTCAGATAATCAATTTATATGTGAGAAAATGATGATGGATAATAAAAAGGATTTATGAAAGCAACGTTTAATTCTTTAATAATGGCATTCATAGATGCTTACTCATGTCCTAGAATTTTATCCGGCATCCTGCTATGAGTTGTTTTGCAAATCTTAGGAAACTGAGTGCTCTTAAGTATCTCTAACACATCCAAATTTCTCCTCAGCTCGTCTCCCTCTTTCTCACCAGATGCCAAGTGACTGCAGACAAAGCAAAAGCTTGTCTGATGGAATAAAAAACTCACAGAAATACAACCCTGCAACCAGTGAAGAATAACGGCTTAAGCTTACAATAAGAGGTAATATGATATATATGTTCAATCATGCACAACTGACTTATGATAAACCTCTATGCTTATAGTTTTTTTGTAAAATACCTTGTTTCCAAGGCATCCCATGATTCCACGACTTATGCAAGAGATTCTTAAGTGGCTAACATATTGTATATGCTCCTTCCTCGCCCAAATGGTAACAAAAATTCCCACCATTTGCTTACTAGCTATAAGGCTGTACTTCAAATGGTTGCTAGTAGATGCCATAGAAATTTCCGATATATCAAAAACGTTTGATCCATCTTCATCCGGTTCAGAAGAAAGGTCGTCTTCATTTATATTTGGTTGTTGGCATCGAAAGCAAAAATCCTTACTATGTTTCCTTTCTAGTTCAAAAATGCAGTTGCAACTCTTCAACCTCCTTTTACTCTCAGTCCTAAAAGTCTTACTGACCTTTTTAAGGGAAGGCTTCGAAGAAAAACGTGAACCACTAGCCTTGCTTCTTGAAGACCCGTCTAGTGATTTGTTCAATGACTGATTGATTAAAGTAAGCCATTTTGCTGCAGGTTCATTATCTTCTAGAACTAGCACATTTCCAGCATTTAAAGGGACAATTTCCTGAAAACTGATGGTAGAAAACAAAAAAAAATTAATGAAATGACCAATTAGTATCTACTACATAAGCACCTAAATAACATGGAATATATTTTCTTTTTATAGCTTCTACTAAAGTGATATGTCATAATGGAAAACTATACATGGAGGACAAAGGGACTCGTATCTTTGTACAACTTGTTTCTGTGTGTTTTCTTGACACACTATCATACTCTAAATGTTGTGATAGGCACTGTGACTCATATCACAGTAGTTATGTTTTAAAATCAAGTACCTAGATATTGGGTGGACACTTTACGGGTGGATGTGAGAGTAAAAAATGCAATGCAAAGGAGATACATATCCTAAATGAAACTTTGCAAATGAAAAAAACAGTAATCAAATCCCGAAGAAAAACAAAAGGATATTATCAATTTGAAACTGTACAAATCAGAAGGGAACAAGAAAGTAAAGGAAAAACAACAAATAAAGAAACCATACCCCAAGACATATATGTCTGATTCATTGTTAACCTGAAGAAAATCGTCCAGATTTAGGCCATTATGAGGAGATTTCCCTCCTACATTCCATGTTGCTACAAACACTCTACAAAACCCAGAGAATAAATATCAAATGTTAAAGCCTATGTCTATTTATCAAAGGGATAGAAAGACAGAAACAACAATTTTTTGTCAGTTCTAGAAGATATTGTGATTACCGAAAGGACTGAACATATTGACCAGCAGGCATCTGAGGCTCTGTGCTACTTATAGATTGAATGTCAACTGCTGGATTGGACTGTGGTTCTGAAAGAAGATACAAGCAACAAAAATCTCATGGTAAGATGTCAAATTTAAAAGAGTTCTAGGTAAAGCAAGAAAGAATGTTTCTTTACAGATTAAACAGGAACCTCAGAAAACCATGCCCCTAAGGAAGACCAATTAGTATCTACTACATAAGCACCTAAATAACATGGAATATATTTTCTTTTTATAGCTTCTACTAAAGTGATATGTCATAATGGAAAACTATACATGGAGGACAAAGGGACTCGTATCTTTGTACAACTTGTTTCTGTGTGTTTTCTTGACACACTATCATACTCTAAATGTTGTGATAGGCACTGTGACTCATATCACAGTAGTTATGTTTTAAAATCAAGTACCTAGATATTGGGTGGACACTTTACGGGTGGATGTGAGAGTAAAAAATGCAATGCAAAGGAGATACATATCCTAAATGAAACTTTGCAAATGAAAAAAACAGTAATCAAATCCCGAAGAAAAACAAAAGGATATTATCAATTTGAAACTGTACAAATCAGAAGGGAACAAGAAAGTAAAGGAAAAACAACAAATAAAGAAACCATACCCCAAGACATATATGTCTGATTCATTGTTAACCTGAAGAAAATCGTCCAGATTTAGGCCATTATGAGGAGATTTCCCTCCTACATTCCATGTTGCTACAAACACTCTACAAAACCCAGAGAATAAATATCAAATGTTAAAGCCTATGTCTATTTATCAAAGGGATAGAAAGACAGAAACAACAATTTTTTGTCAGTTCTAGAAGATATTGTGATTACCGAAAGGACTGAACATATTGACCAGCAGGCATCTGAGGCTCTGTGCTACTTATAGATTGAATGTCAACTGCTGGATTGGACTGTGGTTCTGAAAGAAGATACAAGCAACAAAAATCTCATGGTAAGATGTCAAATTTAAAAGAGTTGTAGGTAAAGCAAGAAAGAATGTTTCTTTACAGATTAAACAGGAACCTCAGAAAACTCTGCCCCTAAGGAGCCAATTATCTTTAACTGATAGCATAAGACTCATATGAATATCGAAAGGAAAAGGGGATCTAATCCAAAATATTGGTTTTGA